GAATTGAATTCCATACCATTTTTGGTCAGCAAAAAAGACTTTTAAATTTAAAAATTCAAAAATTCAAAAAAAAAAATCGAAAAATTAAAAAAAAAACTGAAATTCAAAAAAATTCAAAAAAATTAAAAAAACAAATTTAAATTTAAATTTAATTAAATTAATTTTAAAAAATTCAAAGATTTGTGAATTTAAAAATTCACTAAATTAAAAGTCCTCCAATTCATTCAGCGTACATATTATAGTGGTCGACTGCGGAACAAAATCTCGATTTATAGGAATCTTCAAACCACTCTGCGGTGTCAATGATACTCCGGTGCCTATGATTCATATAGCTATTGGGAACCGTGCTCACTTTACGCGTTCTCCCGAGTACATTCAGCTTAGTAGTCAGCGATTTTCTTGACCAGTCCGTTATCTGACAGACTTTAGTCAATCAATGACTGTAATGAAGTTGTCCTTTAGAAACGCCGTCTCAGTTTGATTTTGTCTACCTAGAGGGAAATCTTAGAAGACAGTAATTTGTCCGTATTAAATAACACTGAGTAAATAGAATAGCACAATTGACAGCTGTCTTACATGACTGAGCTAGTCTTTAAATATTGCGTTCTAGTTTCCGGTACATGTACCAGCAGACTCCGCGGTCAGAGGCATTTTTCCTGGAAGCGAGAAAAGATTAGGCTCAGTCTCCAGTCGTCGGGATTTCGTGCGCCCGCGATACTTCTCTCCCCTGACGGCTGGGCGCATGGGGTTCGCTATTGTCAGTCTCGACCAATCAGCGAGTGGCCCCCGATATTTTCAGGGGCATATCATTAATAAATTAGCAAGCAGCCGTCGTCGCAGTGTAACAAAATGGCGGACAATTTCGTCGTTTGAGATTCTCGTTTGAACGCTCTGAAGTCGTTTATCTTGGACGAATTTAGAGAAATACAGCAAAACGCTCTTAAGCCGTCAGGGGAGAGAGTATCGCGGGCGCACGAAATCCGGACGGCTGGAGACTGAGCCTAGAAAAGATCGTATCCGCACAAGATTCACAATGGCTGCACTTAACAGTTTCGCTTCCAACCTGGAAGAACAAATAACTTGTGCTATTTGTAACGATATCTTTACTGAACCAAGGACACTACCGTGTCTACATACTTTCTGCTTTAAATGTATCAAAGATTGGAACGAGGCTTGTCAGAAAGAGAACAAGACACTGCAATGCCCAACTTGTCGAGCAACAGTCAACATCGAAGGAGGCGACATCGCGAATCTTCCTTGTTCATTCACTTTCAACTCGCTGCTTCAGTTATTCGACTCCATGAAAACAAAGTCTAACGAACCGAGCCAGCAGCAGCTTCAAGAGTGTGTTGGTTGTTCAAAGTGCGACGCGTTGGTCGGATTTTGCCCTCAGTGTGAAGGAATAATTTGTGATGAATGCATGAATGCTCACCGAACAGTAACCTTGTTGATAAAGAGCCACAAGGCAACACTTTGGAGCGAGTTCAATCCAGAGGTTTTGAACAGCTTTGTCAACAACCAAGCAGTTTGCAAAGAGAAGTTCCATATGAATTCTCGTCTTGAATATTATTGCAAGACTTGCAAGAAGTGTATTTGCCATAAATGTTCTGCAACATCACACAGCATCCATGAGAAGGTCAGCATCGGCGAAGCAGCTGAAGATGCTAAAAAACTAATCAGAGAAGAAAAGGATCGACTGAATGAGCTGATTATCGGTTACAAGAAAGAATTAGATTTGTCCAATGAAAATATGAGAAAGATCCAAAGCGAGGTTGATACAGCAAAGGATGAAGTGCACGGTTCCATACAAGCTCTGATGAAGATTCTACAAGACCACGAAGATACTGTGATTGCAGAATTAGATCACATCCGGTTACGACACAAAACTAACTCTGAGAAGCTAAATAGCGAGATCAACGCTGACATCGAAATATTTTCCGAGCTGAAACAAAAGTGTGAGACTATGGATGATAATAATTTAGAACATTTTATATTGGAAAGCTATGAAAATTTACAAGATGTCTGTAAAACTGCAATTCAAGACAAGTCCACTCCATTATCGAACAAGCCAAACAAGCACTCCGTGAGGAACAAACAACAGAAGATTACCCCTGGGTTCCCGAGGATGAACAAGCACAGCACAAAGATACATTACATTTCAAACCCAGAGGTCATTCCCGTCATGCAAAAGTTGAAACTTGGTGAGGTAGTTGAAAGTGTGACGGATCCGTTACGTTGTTTTATACATAAGCTAAGTAAATCCGTTTGGTGTGGTTTTACCAATGAATTTGTTATCGAGACAAAAAATTCAGCAGGGGATGTATGCCATACCAATAAAAGCTTGATTGATGTTAAAATCCAAGATGTCGATGGCAACGATGTACAGAAAGAACTGACTGCAATTGAAACTGGAAGATTTCTAGTTAAGTATAATCCAGAAAAACCTTCACCGTACAAAGTTGTCGTGAGTATTGGAGGAAAAGAAATCATGAATTCACCACAGACTGTTAAAGCAGATGTGAAAACCTATTGTGCCATCAGACACTTTGGAAAAAAGATATTGGTGAGACCCATTGCAGTAGCCATCAATGACCAAAGCGTAGGTGCTGTTGTTGATCATGGGCCTGACAAAACTGTCATTGCTTTATTCAATTTTGCAAATGGACAATACATGCAAGAGTTTTCCATCAGACCACAAATTTATGCATTGAATTCAAATCTGTTTGGAGTAATATTCAACCAAACAAATAGAATCCTTGTTAGTCACAATCTAGGCGGTTCTGGATGTATCAAGGAATTTGATATCGACGGTGCTGAGAAAAGAACTGTTTGTACCCTTCCTAAAGCAGTATATTTCTCACAAATGTGTAAGGCCAATCACAGCATTGCTTGCCTGTGTCATAATAGCAAAACCAACGAGACATTTATCAAGTTGTTCAGTGATGAAAGTTATGATCACCTTCATGACATCAAACTGGATGTTCCTAATGGTGGTCATGGACAGCCTTTCTCATTAGCTTATGTGAACAATAAGTACTTTGTATCGTTTTTTAACATGAACAATGTTTATGTTTTTAATGAGAGTGGCGGTCTGTTGTACACGTTTGGAGGCAAAGGCAAAAAAGAAGGTCAATTTGACCTCATACATGTACATGGACTTGCTGTGTTTGGCAAAGACTTGCTTCTAGTCTGTGATCGAAATAATCACCGTGTCCAGGTCTTTTCTCAAAGTGGACACTTTCTAACTTCCTTTGGTAGCTACGGGTCAAGTTGGGGAGAAATGGATGTTCCCGTAGACATTGCTGTTACACAAGATGGGAAAGTCTTTGTTTTGGAACTACGTGGAAAGCGAGTGCAAGAGTGGAAATGAAAATATCAAGAACATCTTGTTTTA